TATTGTAGCGTTGTATATTAACTAAATGATTTTGAAAAAAATATCCGTATTCAATAATCATTTAACCGATTTTTCGATGAAAGAATATAGCATGAGTACTTTTGCACTTTATTTTGTCCGATAGTGTACTTACAAATTAAAACACAGTTAAAAATGAGAAAAGAGTTGTAGAAAAGTCACTACAAACAACATATTCGAAGTACTTCAAATTTTGATGAAATTTACATAAGCGTTTAATTGAAAGAATGTGGTTTATTTTTGACATACAAATATCGGATTTTTACAGCTTCTAAAGATAAGATTAGATGTAGTTCAAAGTTGTCAAAAATGAACAACATCCCTCCAATGACACGCTAATGTAAAATTCATAGGTTTTTCACCTGAATTTGAAGCACTTCGGGTTACTAGTTGTGATGAAAATTCTACATCTTTTTCCAAACTTTTTTTGCTGGGTAAAATCGTTTTACATCCATACTTACTTCAATTTTTTGTTTCGGTAATACGCCTATTGTGGTAGTTTATTACTGATTTACTTTGAACTACTTTTCTTTTCTACAGTGTTATGTTTTTAAATTTTACCCAATATAATGCATCACATTAAACGTGTTTAAAAACACGTGTTTTCTAAAGACCATTCCACCACCATTTCACTAAAACATTTTATGGAAACCGAAATTGTAAAGGCTATAGTCAGTTTTCTTTTTTATTTATTTGTCCAAATGCAAGTGTTCAACCACAATTTGGAATAAAATGTAATTAATTATATAATTTACACACTAAAAAAGCCGTCACATTAAATGTCAACTAAACAAACAACGACAACCCTTAACAAGTGCCAAACTTCCAGGAGAAGGGAAGAAAGCGGAGAAGTGATTATGATGACAGGGTTTAAACTTGTGGGCTTAGTTTAGTCAAATAAAATAAAAAAAAATAATTATCAATAAATATAAGAAAACGGAAAAAGTAAAAAAAATAAAAAAGTTAAATATAAGAAATCTGTTAAACAATGGTTTCTATTTGCTGGCCAATCACCACTTTCATAATAATGCAACCACACTACTTTGCAATAATACATATTAAGTGTCCTTGAAAATACTTTGCGGATTTCTTGGTAAACTGAAGTTTTTTCTGTAGTTACAATTAATTATTTTTAATTTACAATTAATTATTTCTATATGAATGCAAATCATTGGGTGTTTTCGAGTTCCTCCCACTTTGTACCAGTTATAAATTTATCTCATATTTCTTTATTATGTTGTTTAATGTTTTTATTTACTTTTCTTTTTAAAAGATGTAAAAGAATTAATTCGTTAGTTAGGAGATTTGGAATAGAATAAATTATTAATAATTTAATAAAAAATAAATAATATGTCGGTCCATAATTAGCAGTAGCCCCTTCAGAAAATATCATTAACTTTCACTACTGACTAAAAAATACAAATACAGCGATGACATGTATAAACTAAAATATCTTTATAAAATTTTATGATGATGGGTCCGTAATTGATCCTACCGCCCATATAAAGTCCCCTTCAGAAAATGTCTTTAACACTTATTGCTGGTTTAAAAACACCAGTAGAGCGACGAAATTCGACATAAATAAGTTTTTATGAGAATCGGTCTATAACTGACCCTAACCCCAAATAATTTTCCCTTCAAAAAATGTTCATAACTGATTTAAAAATATCAATATGAGTGAAATATGACATAATAGAGTTTTTATCAACCTAAATCTCTCTACCGAATTTTATGACTATTGGTCTATAGTTAACTCAAGCCTCAATTTAATCCCCTACAGAGAATGATTTTAACGCTCATATCTTGTTTAAAAATGCCAATATAGCTACGAAATTTGACCCATAATTGAGCACACCCACATCTTTACTGACTTGATAATACCAGTATAGCGATGAAATTCGACATAACCAAAATTTGCAAGAACGAAAATCTTTTCTATGAGGATCGGAGCATAATTCACCAACAACCCATATGAGGTGCTCTACAAAGAATGACTTTAACGCTCATAACAGGCTTCAAAATGTAGGTACAATGATAAAGTTCGACACAAAAAAGTTTTTTAGGAACCGAAACCTATATTTATGAAAACTTAATTATTTCTTACAGAAAATCAGTTTACAACTAATAAATCACTCCAAAAGTTTAACATTTTGACAGAGTTCTAAAATAGTAATTACTTCTTTAAACTTCAATTCAATTGAAAGCCCTAATCCGAAAATCAACCTGATGTTCATATTAATCTAATGATCAAAGATAGGGCCACCTTCCGAAATTTACTTAATCTTTACGGTATATAATTTGATGGTGGGTATATATGATTCGGCATAGTCAAGTGGTTCATAGTGTGTTATATACCAAAATTTTCCATTTTTGTCTTAAAATATTTAAAATTTAGTTTAGAGTAAAATCGAAAACTTTTTCAACACTCGGGGAAAAAGTGATATGTGTGAAATGAGTAGGGCCGATTTGAAATGTTCAAAAATATTGAAACCATAGTATGTATAGTCCAAACGTTTTTTTTTTTATTTATTATAATTATTTTTTTTAATTACATATCTTTGTTAAAATGAGGATAATATCACACTAGCATTATCTTCAATGATAATCTGGATTTTTAATTCGTGTCGTTTAAGCTGCCTACACACTATGAGAGAAGTCGTTAGATTTTTATTTCATACTGCCAAAACAAAATAAAATGAAAATTGGTATGATTATAAAAAAAATCAAATAGAAAATATATTTTGTTTTTACACTATCAGATTTGAAATAAAATGAAACTTCAATTTAAAAAATTGAAAGAAAAACCGTAAATTTTCATTTTGTTTCTGAATTGAAATTTGTTTCTGTTTTTATTTTTTTTTTGTTTAAATAAAAATAAAACTCAAATAAAATGAAAAAATCCAATCGTTTTGAAATATTTCAAAAAATTTTAAAAAATCATACGATTTTCAATTTTCCATCCGTATTTTCAGTAAGTTTTATTACATTTTGAAACTACACTGTAATATTTTTCATTTTATTTGAAAATTTTGAAATGTCGTTTTATTGAATATTATAGTGTGTAGCCGGCTTTAGTAAACAAAGAAATATATTTCTAAGAACTGAAAAAAACACTTGCATAACAAACTTTTAGAAATAACAAAAGTATGTACTTATATGGTCCATTGTTCTGTAGCAGCAAAATTTGTTACATAATAAAGATTTTCTTTTTCCTTAAACATAAGTACGGTTAGCATTTATACATCCACCTTTATACTAATCGTTTTAGTGGCATAGTTAATTGTAAAATTGCTGTAACAAATGTGACACATATTGTGACAAATTACCCTTAAAGATGTTAAAATGTATGGACATATGTGTGTACATAATGTTTCACAAAAAGGATAATGAGTAAAACTAAAATAGATATTGGAGAGATTGGTCTTGTTAAAGAATTAGCAAAAATCTTTTAATGATTTCATGTACGTTTTGTTGCCAAAAATCATTAAATTTTAGAGAGTTTCATTTTAAGTTAAAATATGCATATATGAACATAAATACAAATATATTCATGAATTTGTATGTGTATTTGTGTATTTGAGTAAAATGTGCATGTATTGAAGCATTCAAATTCATTGAATTCCTTTAACTTTTTCAACTTTAGCACCCAAGTCAATGTTTAACAATACATGAACGATATGTACAGCATTTTCGCTTCAATAGCATTCACAAAATATTTGGGGAGTTTGTTCGCTCGATAATCTCTTTCTCTAACATTGTGTAAAATGTATGAATGTGTGTTGAGTGTGACATTATGTCAAACATTAGATATTCTACCATTAATACTTCTACTTTTCTTGCTACCGATATCGATGTCTCTTGGTAACAACAACAGCAGCAGCAACAACAATATGCTAGTATGAGACACAAGTGTTTGTGATGTTATTCGGCCATTGTTTGCATGCAATGTGACATAAAAACAACAATTGTCGCCTTTTAGAACAATGCATGACGAAATAAGATTTTACGCATTTTTAAGTAAAACGTTTTATGTTCCCTGTTTTTTTATGTTTTTTTCTCTTTCTTTTGTGCCTTTTAGTCCCTGTCTAAAACATGTGCTTTTGTGTGTGCATATTGGAGTCAACCCCTGTTAAAAAGCCATGAAAGTTTTTCATTTCATACTTGTATTCGTACACATTACATATCATCCTTCGTCCTTTCAGTTGGCAAATGTTTCTAATTTGCCACATTTTGTAAATGTGATGCCTGCCCCCTTGTTTATGTCAACTGAGTGGAACAAATTTCGTTTGACTGCACCTGCAAACATGTTTAAACATTTTAAAGACTTGTTTTCATTTAATTTTTGTTCGTCCTTTTTTGAATTGATATTTTTTTGTTGTAATACGAGAAAGTTTCAGCAATGTTTTTTGTTAGAAAAATTAAAATGCATGTTTCCAAATTTAACTGCTACATTTTGCAATAGTTTTATAGATCTAGCTTTTCTTCATAGTGCATATTTTCAATCCTAAGAGACACATACTCAAATTCTTGAAAAGTAAGATTTAAACAGATTTATTATTTGTTATTACATTTTACTCCTAACTCAGAAACACTTCCACAGAATTGGTTCGTCCTAGGAAGGGCGGTGAATAGTCACCGCTCTTGGATAACTACCAACTTTTGATGTTTTTGAAGTGCTTTATATTATTTTTAAAGAATCTAAAATTTTAGAATCCTTTATGTTTAATTAATTTAAAATAAGATAAGTGCTTTTAATTTTCATATATTATTTTCTTTTATTTCTTGATTTTTCTTTCTTTAGTTTTTTTTTCAATCGATTTTCTAAATTATTAACACTTAAACTGTGGCAAACATAAAATTTATTTTGTTTTTCTTTTTACAAATACTAATTTTGATTTTTGTTCTTGTTGTTTTTGTTTTTTGTGGCTGTTAATTATTAAAGTTAAGTGCAACTTAAAACTACTTAAAATTCTAAAAATTACTTAATTATCATTAATATCTTTATTCACTAAACTACTCATACCAACTCCACCACCACCTCCGCTACCAGCATCACTATAGGCCAATTCTTCAGGTCGAAAATAGGAATTTTGCATACTGTACAAACGATCAATGGGATTGATCATGGGAGTTTGTGAAAAAGGCCCCATTAATTGTTGGAATGTGGAATAGCTGAGACCCAAGATGGTATTCAAAATGGGTTCATTGGTTTTATTGCAGTTTTCTGTAATACAAAGTAAATTTTTAACAAAATTGTATTTTATATTAAATTCCCAATCGCCATTTACCTTTATTAGTTTCTATACAATTAAACGGAGCATTTTCATTTTCATCTTTAATGCAATTCCTTAGTTTGGCCATGGTATCCGCTGTATTTGCTGTGGCAAATGGTGAATCCATTAAAGATTCATTATCACTCTGTGCCTCATCTTTTATCTTTGTCATGTTGCTGTTGTCGGACTCTTGTGAATCCTGGGAATCGCTATTGCCTTTAGTGTGACCTTCTTGTTTGGCTTTCTTTTGTATTTTCTTCACTTTGGCTCTTTGATTTTGAAACCAAACCTTAATGAAATTGAAATTAAACAAATAATTAATTTGCATTACTTGTTGAGTGTAATACAAGTCTGTGTGTTTTACCTGTACAATTCTTAGACTTAAGCCTGTTTCCTTGGCTAGATTTTCTCTGACTTTACGACAAGGTTTAGGCGATACTTCAAATGATGCCTTGAAAGCTCTTCTCTGTTGTGTGTTTAATATTGTACGCGGTCTCTTGGGCCCTCTACGACCATCCAGCTTTGGCGCAAACAAATCATCGCCATAGAAATCTGTGTCGAAGGGAGAAAATTTATTAAGAAATTTATATTTTGTTGATTTCTGTTTGCTTTAATTTAAATATCACATTCCTGCTTGAAAAAGAAGCCCTTTTACGCAATTTATTCTGTTGCCTTTGTTGCTCTTAAACAAATTTATTATTTTGCAGAGGAAGAGCGTATAAAGCAAAGAATTGTTAATAGCGGTTGGTGTTGTGTTATTACTTACCGTATCCTTGCAACATTTCCACTTCTTTCTCGTAATCGAAACGACAAAACAATTGGCCCTGCTTTACAACATACTGTTCGCCCTTCTTGAGTATGGCACCGCATACAACACACGCAAAACATTTCAAATGGAAAACATTTTCAAGTGTCCTCATCACCAGCTCATCAGCAGCAATTTTATGACCGCAACCAAGGCAACGATTTCGCAAAAAAAGTCTGTTGGCAAAAGAGAATAAATATTAAAAAAAAAAAAAACTCTATTTGCATTTCTATGTACTTTTGTTTATTTATTATGATGTAAGGTTTTGTTATTAAGGAGTAGGTTTGAAATGCTAGTAGTTAGGCCATTTTAAATATTTACATTGAAATCAATATCAATTTAAGGAAAGATGCTTTGAATTTTATTGCAAAATTTATTGAAATTCACTTGAATACGAATTTTCAAGTCATTTTCAGAAGGGGACTTTGTGTAGGGGCTAGGATCAGATGAGAAATTACGAAAATCGGCAGTATCATTTAGACTTCTATAAAACTAAGTTTTGCCGATTTTTGGAGAGATACTAAAATATAATTATGAGCCCAGAAGCCCAATTCGAGGGGCACGGTTGTATGGGGGCTAGGCGATATATTAGACCGATTTAAACCATTTTAATAGGCTTCGTTATTGAGTCAAAAGAAGAGTATGTAAAAAATATTATTACATACTATATTGAAAATTGCGACCTGTAGCGTAATACACAAGGTTTGCATGGACACTAGAGGTGTCCAAAAAGTATCGATTTTGCTTTCTTTTTGTTCATTAGTGTCTAAAACCAACTGGTGTAAAATTTTAGCCAAACGGGAACCCATGCCGGAAATCGATTGAAAAGTGTAAAATTGGGTAAATAATATACAAATTAAGACCCATCTGATCAAAATCGATATTTTTTGAACCCCTCTAATGGTCACACGGAAGGACAGAGAGACAGACGGACGGACAGAAAGTGATTCTTAGCCGATTGAAACTTTAAGGTGGATGTAGGACCAATGCTTTTGGATGTTACAAACATCAGCATAAACTCATTATTATAGTGGTGTAGGATATAATCATTATACCCGATGGGATCAATTGTATGTTAATCTCATTGAAACAATAGTAGATCATACAATTAATGTCCAGCAAATTTAAGTATTTAAAATCTTTGAAGTACAATTTATAATCTAACGTACAAATCGCCTTTGGCAATATAAATAGGATATTAAACCATTGATATCCTCTGTTACTCATACCAATAACAATAAAATTACAAACATTCTCCTAAACTACACACAAACACATTCCATTTAATAAAAACTTACCTTTCGTAGTCGATGCGACAATAGAGTTTACCATCGCGGGCGAAACAGGAATGCACCAAATGCAACGAACATGTTGCACACTTAAGGCAGCTCTCGTGGAATGAAGTGTCAACGACACGCATTATATAACGATCACAAATTGGTTGGCAACAATAACCGCAGGCGAGCGATGAGGACATTGAGGTGTTCGACATGGACGATGGTGTTGAGCAGGCATTCGAAGACAATGACAATGGCAACGATGACAAAGCTGAAGCCGACAACGGACACAGTGAATCAATGATGTGTGTGGAAGGATGCGAATGAAGATGAGAATGAGAATGGGGATGTTGATGTGTGTGAGAACAGGCTGCTGCTGAATTCAATTGCTGCTGTAACAAGTGCTGCTGTAAAGCTAAAGCTGTTTCAATTGCATTGTTATTGTTACTATTATTGTGGCAATTGTTTATGTTATTGCTATTGCTGTTGTTATTGTTGTTAATGTTGTTACTGTTTAAATTGCATTCGGTTAATGTCAAACGGTTGGCTGAACATTGTAAAATATTTAAGGCTTGTTGGTGTTGTTGATGTAAAGACAATTGAAGTTGATGTTGTTGTTGCAATGATGGTGGCCCTGGTCCACAAGGATTTGTTGATGATTTGTTATCACTTGCTGTATTACTATTGTTGTTTGTAGTTGTTTGACTACAGTTGCTATTGTGGTTGTTACAACTTCCGTTGACAAGTGTCGTTCCTGTCAATGACTGTTGCTGTTGTCCATTATTTGATGTACTTGTTGGCATTGTTGTTGTATTACTGTTGTTTGTCATATTGTCATTAAGAGCTTCCTGACTGCTGCCATGGCTGCTGTTACTGTTGTTACTGACATTAGAGGCACCACCACAACTACTGCTGCCATTACTATTACCATGACCATTAGTTGAGGAGAGACATTGACTACCATTGACTTGTGTTGCAGACAATTGAGTGGAATTTGCCGTTGTCGTTTGTTGAGGCGTAATTGGTGAAGAGGTGCTCTTGTTCGTGACACTGTTGCTAGTAGCACTTGTAACTGTGTTGTTGTTGTTATTATTGTTTGAGGCGGAAGTATTTGCTGTAGATGTTGTTAACATTCTTTCATTTCCGTTCATGGCCATTAAAGAGTTGTTGTGTGTATTTTGATGCTGCTGCTGTTGATGTTGGTGATGATGTAGCAAGATGTGTTGTTGTGTTACTGTTGCCTGACATGGTTTAATATCTAAAGGAACTATAAAACAAGATACAATTTTAGATTTCTGTTTGGTCTAAAGTTTTTTATAATAAAATAGTTTTTATCTGGCTGTGTCCCTGCCAATTGTAACAACTTTCAGTTGTGTGTTTATGTAAATAGTAAAGTTTTACTCAATTTTACTGTTTTTGTGGTTTTGTTCAGGATTTGTTTTTGTGGCCTTGTTATTGTTTTAACATCTACAATGTAACACTCAGTGCGTTTTTGCCTGTTTTTTATCTGTGAAATAGTTTGTTGGTTGGTCAGTTGGTTGTATTCGGTCAGTTGTTGCCCATTTAACTGGATTGTACTTTAGTAAATTTGTGGTTTTGTAATTATTGAAATAACTGTATATTTATTTACACATATTTTTTGTGTTATGTTGCAACTCGACTATTTCGTTTGACCCAAACCCAAGCGGTGCGCATTGTGAGGATTCAATTTTGTATTGAACAGAAGCGTTTTGTAAAAAACTATATGAGGGAAAAGTATTCGTCTATTTGAAATCCTTATGAACTCAAGTACAATATCCATATACTGTTTTTTTCTTTTCTTTACATTGTCAATTCGTCGACCAAATTTCAGATTAACAGAGAATATTTGGGAAAATATTTATTCATTTCAACTAATTTTAAACCGAAAAACGTTTTAAAAATATTATTGGGGAAAAATTTAAATTTTACAAAAAAAGTTTAGAATATTAGTATCTACTTTTCCCGACTCCTTCTCAAAAAGTATTGACTTCTGTAACTCTGAACTTATGACTATCCCTATTGAGTTTAAAACATTTTACGTTTATTATTATTGTTGTTGGTGTGTATTTGGTTACATTTGGTATTTAATGTATTTGTCCACAGTTGCTGGTCGGTCATGTTTCAATGGCTGCCTGGACTGATGTTTGACTATTTTCGTCAGTTGGTTTATTTGGTGGCTGGTTGACTGGCTGCTCATCTATGACCATCTATGACCACTACTTCTACAACAACTGATGTAACTACTGCCACAGTAAATGTTTGTGTGTTTGTAAATGTAGGAGCACTTGTATAATGTTGTCTCAATTTATTGGTTTAAATGAAATTATTTAACCACATTTTCATGGTGTTTTTAAATAATTTCATTTTTTTTTTTCATTGCATTAAATATTTCAGTTTGTTTTTTTAATATATTTTTTTTTAAATAAAACTGCACTAACATATTGAAATACACGCACATTATTAATTGTATGTAAGTGTGTTTAAGGGAAAAATGATGAATAAATACATGGAATTGTTGTGAAAGGGAGAGAAGAAGTTCTATGAAATATTTCCAATGCAACATTATAAATATCGCAATTATTAATGAACAGTATTAAAAAAAGTAAATATGTAATGACAAATTATAAAATATTTCCGGTTTTAAAATATTAAATTTTTTCGAAAAGCTTCTTTAACTAGTATTGGTATGATATGACATGACCTAACTGGTATTAGGCGTTCGAGAAGAGAGACATAAGAAAAATTAAAAAAGATTATTAGAACTAGAATCTGCATCTATCCCCAAAGAATTAGACACTGAAATGTTCTATTCTACATATCTAGAGGTCGAAGGGTTTGTTTTTGTACCAGAGCGCACAATAAGTCCAATAGTGGCCTAAGTGGAATTCCTCGTATCATATATAACTTTAATCCTCCTTTCAAACTAACTAATTAACTTTCTTCTTAAATAGCAAAATCGATTTAACAATTCACTTAACTAAAAATAACCTAAATGTTCAATAGGTAAAATGCTTATAAGTTCTCAGCTAAATTTGAACATATTGTACTTATGGACGAATATAAATGATTTGTTTATCAAAAATTTGACTTCTCTTCAGCTTAAATACTTTATCAAAATTTCAATTGTGTTAAATAAATCCGATTAAAGTGAAATCTATACGAAAACAATATACAACAAGAAGAACAATAACAAATATTACTATCTGACCTGACTCATTGTAATGTGCGCTGAAAGCTGAAATAAATATCCTGAAATCCTTAAGCATATGTTTATGCTTAAAGACCGAAAGTAAAATAAAACAAAGCAAAAAAAAAAAAATAACCAAATATTTTTGTCCATATTACAATTAGGGGTTGCAGTTTCTTTGCTTGTATATGACTGTGTTTATACTTATTTATTATACAATGATTTCATTTTTTTCAAATCCTAAATTCTTTTATAATTTAGTTATAAGCAAATCTGTTTAAACAGGGATGATGTAGATTACGACTTCAATGCGTTAAACAAGGGAACCCCTTTTTAAAGCATTAACAGACATCTTACATTGAAATTGTATGGGTTTGTTTGAATGTATTTTGGAAAATTTTCTGGCAATTCATTCAATTCACTATACGCTCGTTCGTTCATTCATTCGTTCGCTTGTTCGTCCTTAAACACATTAGTTTCTAATTAGTAAACAAAACGTTTCATCCGTTTATATTCTTTCGCTTCAATAGCATAGAATTGTTCTTGTGCTATTGAACTACAAGGAAAGCAACAACAATGTTGTTTAAAATATTTCCTTTTCTACTTTGGCCGGGTGGTGTTTCTTCTCTGAACAAGTGTAAATCTTTTGTTATCATGCCAAGTCATGTATTTTTTCAACTTTGGCCAAATCATTCATGGAACATTTGTTCTTTTTTCTAGATTTTCGAAATTCGTCCATAGATTTTGTTCATTGTTGAAATGCCCTTTTGATTTAAACATTTTATAGCTGCCTGCTACATTTGCTACTGCCACAGATTGTGCATGAGTGTACGAGTGAGTGTCTGTAGTATCTGTGGGGCTGTGTAGTGTAACAGGTGTAGTTTGCATGTTATTGCCATCTCTAATCAGATTATCACTTACATTTTCTTGCATAGGAAAATATTTTTGTGTGGATCTCGACAATAGCTCTGCGTGTTACTTTTATCTGCTTATAAATAGTTTATTTTTTTATATGAAACAAAAATTGAATTTAAATACAGTGTTGGCGAGTGTTATTCATAATCTATAAAGGATTGACTTCTGTCAAGATTTTTCTATTGTCTGTCTATATGGGTTTATTTTAATATTACACTTTGATGCTTTGATGTTTGTATTTTCTATAAGAACTTGTAAGCCTTTAAAAGACGCATATAATTATAAACAAACACTTTCCTCTCTGAAAGTATTGATGTGATGTCCAGCAGTCGCAATTTTTAATATTTATCACTTAAATTTCCTAAACATAAACCGTTCTTCCGGAAAAAACTTAAGCAATTTCTTATTAATTTCTTTAAAACTCCCATACTTTTATACCCTACACCACTTTAGTGCGGTATATTGGGTTTCTGCTCAAAGGATTTCAATTTGCTTAAGTCGATTAAGCCATCACCGTTCATGATGGCTTAATCCTGCAAGGGTAAACATTTCTAACGAAATGCTTAAAATCGATCCATTGTTTCACCTAGCTTTTGAGCCCATAATTATATTATATTTTAGTTTTATATGAGCTTTGATGACCCCAATGAATTTCGTAATGATCGGCTATAATTTGAATCTAGACCCCCTTTCGACAATTACTTGAATATTCAAAAATCACTAATATCGCGATGAAATTCAGCATAAATAAATTTTATGTAAACATAAATCGATACACCAAATTGTATGGGTATCGGTCTCTTTTAGAAATTTAGTTTTTCGTCAATAAATTGCTTTAATGTATTGGAACTAACATAAAACTCAACATTACAGCTTTATTATCAAAAATAAATCACATTTTATAAACACAACTGGTGAAGGGTATCATGTGGTCGGCCAGGCCTGACACTTTCTTAATCGGGGGAAAATATCGGTTCCATACCAATTTCTATTGTATTTCAGACATCTTCAAAGTTTCTAATTTTATTTAAAATTCCTAATTCTATCAGGGGAGCTATAGGCGGAAAAGCTTTTCCCAAAGACAGAATCCATATCGAAACGGTCAGAAAACTGCTATTTTCGGATTGAAATTTTCGATTTTATGAAAATTATTACACATATAATGATGTAAAAGTGTTCCCCAAATCATTGATTTCTTCATCGGAAAACCGCCCAGTCCAAAAATATCGCGCTTTAAAATTGAAAACAAGTAATAATTTATAGTCGGGCATGGCCGACCATATGATACCCTACACCTGTGATTATGTTACAAATTATGATTTTTTTTTTTTTTTTTTTAATAATAAAGTATTTAATTTCATATTTAACTTTTAATTCAGAAATATGTTAACTATTTGTTTAAAAAAAGGGATTTTCTAAAAGAGGGGTTATATGCGGTTATAAATTTTGGTAAAGGAATTTACGCCTACATCAGTTATTTTTGCAGAATATCATCGGGATATTAGTGTTTATAAGTGAATTTTGACCAACAAGTCATTTTCTGAAGAGGACTTAGTATGGGGGGATAGGGTCGAATGAGGCCCGATCATTACAAAAATCAGCAATATCATTAACATATAACATATTTATGTGCTCAAAAGTCCTATTCGTGGGGACGGGAGCTTTACGAAATAATGGACCGATTTAACTATTTGGCACATACTCTTCTTTTGACCCAAGGACGAAGACTATTGTCCTTGGGTCAAAAGAAGAGTATGTGCCAAATTTCATCTAATTGCGAATTACATGTACACATTGATGGACAGACTGATAGACAGACATAGCTAAATAGACTCAGAAAGTGATTCTGAGCCGATTGGTATATATTTTAAGGTTGGTGTAGGACCAATATTTTTGGGTGTTAGAAACATCAGCACAAACGCATCAACATATTCTCATTTCGTGTTCTCATTTAACAGGGTGATAATAAAATACCTTAGATTTCATGATTCACTTAACAATAAATAACAATAAAGCGATCAAATTCTCGACGGACAAGTTTCATATGATCAGAATTATCTTTATCGTTTTATAATTGGCCCTGTCTCCTAATAATCAATCTTACAGGAAATCAGTTTATTGGCAAAAAATAATAAAAAAAATTATTGTACTAAGATTAAGTTTTACAAAACTGATAAAGACATAAAATTTCTTTACCAAATTTTGAGGATTCGTCCATAATTGACCCTAACCTTCATATAAGGTTCCCTTCAGAAAATTACTTTAACGCTTATTACTGCCTTAAAAACATTAGTATAGAGATGAAATTCGGCATAGATAAGTTTCTTATGAGCTAAAATCTTTCTGCCGAATTTTATGAGAATGGGTCCATAATTAACCCTCTACCTAAAGTCCCCCTTAGAAAATGACTTTAATGCTAATTACTGGCTTAAAAATAGGAGTATACATATCGATGAAATTCTACACAAATAAGTTTAATACGAGCCAAAATCTATCTACCATATTTTATGACGATCAGCTAAAAATTAACCCTTCAGATAATTACGTTAACTTTTATTACTGGCTTAAAAATAAGAGTATAGCGATAAAATTCGACATGAGTAAGTTTCTCAGTAGCAAATTTTACAAGGATCGGCCCATAATTGACCCTACCCTCATAAAAAGCCCCTTCAGAAAATCAATTTAACTCTAATTACTGTCATAAAAATGACTGAATTAAAAATACGAGTACAGCGATAAAATTCGAAACCAATACGTGTTATATGAACCGAAATCTATCTAAAAAATTTTACGACAATCGATTTATAATATGCTCATAGCTCAATATTTTGTTAATTCGAAAGAGCACTGTCCATAATTGCCTTAAGCCCTTTTCCAAATATCACACTGATGTTTATAGGGGAACATTCCTTTTCAGTTATGGCCTATTATTAAAAACCGATTCAGAATTTATGATAACGATTAATGCCGGCTTATTTGATATTTAATAACCGACGGCTTATCTTCTTTAAAAAGTTTTCTACAAGCCGCCGGTATTTCCATTAATTTTAGATTCGCTGTTAAAATATAATACTTACACATGCCCATTGGTATGGGATGATGTTCTTCTATCATTTTGATTTTCCGATTTGGGAATTTCCAAAATAAACTATATTCGTTGGCCAACAAACACTCACAGTTATTTTTAAATTTTGCAATAACTTTAAAATATAAAGTCCTTTAAATAGTTTTAAAACTTTTTAAAAATTTTTTATTTAAACATATACAGAGTCTTATGTCTATGCATATAGAGTCTTTTTACATTTTGTATCTTTAAAACAAAAATTTCTTTTACAAAGTATTTTATTTTCTTTGGTATTTTTTTTTTTTTCATTTATGTGTTAAGAACCGTTTTCTTTTGACCAACACATACATTCACACACAGACTTAGCCACTTTGTGTGAGTCTAAATATTTCCTTATTTTTTCTGTTTAAAATGGCGATTTTTGGCTTTAAAGTACTCGCCCGTGTTTTGTGTGTAACGCAATGCTTGACTGATTACGGACCTCTGGCACTAATGAAATTTGTAAAAATATATTTGGAACTCAACTTGGCTGGTAGTTAGATAAAAAGGATATTTTTGTTGCTCATAGGGGAAATCCTGTTGAAAATATATTTCTAGTAATTGGCTAAAATTGAGAGGTTTTACAAAGCAGCATTTCCTTTATGAAAATTTGTTGTGAAAACAAAAACAAAGGATCCATATTTACTTTGGCCATGCAAAATAGAGAAGATGGCCGCGTAGCTTTCAAAATGAGTGTAATTCTAAATGAATTTCCCCTGTATTTTGGGGAGTCTACTTGTGGCATAAAGGGATATTCCATAGAAAAAAGGGCACATGCGCTTTGCTAATGTGAAAATCAAATTTAAAACTAAATAAGGGAGCTTTTCTATTTCTTGCTATTCGCGAAGAAAATATACAATAGATATTTGTTATCACACAATAAAATGTGAATTCAATAAAAAGTATTTAAATCGACAAAAATACTGGTTCAGAAAATACAGGTGAATATTTAAAATGTTTATTTTTAGTTTTTAATGGCAAACGGGATTTTTCAGGACCTTTTAAAGAAGTCAGCTGTAATTGACATTATTTTACTTAATCATTTTACACGTTAATCCTTTTTATATCCGCGTACTTGTGGTTCTTACAGTTTTATTTCCTTCTTCATCTACCGCTGTTCTTACTGCGTCTTCATTCATTATGACAGCGTATGATGCTGGTGTGTGTACGAATATCTTTTTAACAGCTGATAATTTAGTCCCTGTCGACAACGAATTGTAATCGTAGTCGTTGTAGTAAATGTTAATGACTTCGTAAAACACGTTTTTATAACATGTTTTGTTGTTCATCCTTTAAACCCTTTGCTGCCCTACGTCTTCCGTTTCCTATTTGCTTAAAGTGTTAATGGTTGTTCAGTTTTAGTTTTGTTTTAAAGCTTCATTTATTTTCAATTTTATTTCCTCTTTTCTATAAACAGACAGAGACTTCTTTCACCTTTTTCTTGTACACATGTCTTCCTTATCTTATAGACACTCATACATACACCCACCCACATACATATATTAAAGTCTATTAAATTAAGTTAAAATGTAATCGAGGTTTCTATAGCTTTAAAACATTCTTTAGCAGACTTTCTTTCGTCCTTTGAAATATTTTTGCACTAGAATGAGTTTGAATGTGAGTAAGCGTATCTGTATGTGTGTTTGTGTGCATTTTATAATGTCTACTCTGGGTCTAGTGAAAATTTAAACACAGACAGACAAACTCACGTAAATGTATGTATATACTTATAAGTATCGGTGTAGTGTTTATGAACCATCTTTTTCGAGTTACACCGACACCAATGCAAACATATTTGGAATTTGTAATAGATAGACAGACGAACAGACATTCATATTTTACCTCAATGTGTCTTGCTTGTTTTTGTTTGGGTTCAAAATATGAGTGTGTGAAAAATTCTTTGCAAATACGCGCTTTCATTTACTAGGCTTTCTTGTGTCCAAATACTTTGTTAAATGTGTCTTGTCTTCTTCCTGGGCCAGGTGTTTGTAAGATGTTTTTGTTCGTTTTCTGGTGTTGATTTCAAAATTTTGTTAAGTTTAACGTTAATGTTGATTATGTTGTTTTTAATAATTATGTTAATTATAAGTTTTTTTAATGTTTAAAGTTTTTGAACTTTAATTTATTCATTTGTTATTTAAATATTGAATGGAAATATGCTAATGGGAAATACATACATAAAATGGTAATTGCCAGAAAATTGACATTTAGTCTGTATAAAAAATTGTTTCAATAGACCACTCTATAGTCTGGATTATAGACCAGTCTATTATCTATTATTAATAAGTATATGTATCTATGTCTATGTCTATTATTAATAAGTATATGTAGTATTGACCAGTCAATAGTCTGGAATATAGACCAGTTTATGATATGGAGTATAATGCAGTCTATGTTCTGGAATAGAGACCAGTCTGAATCAGGAATAAAGACAAGTCCGTTTATTGTACTATAGTCTGTATTATGGATCATTCTATAGTCTGGAGTATAGACCAGTAAATAGTTTGGACCAGTCTATGGTCTGGAATATAGACCAGTTTATAGTCTGGACCATAGATCAGTCTATAGATTAACTCGACTATAGACCAATTAGTAGTTCGGTATAGACTGGTCTGTAGTCTGAACTGGACTATTGACCAGTCTGTAGACTGGACTACAGACCAGTATGTAATCTGTACAATAGAACGGACTATAGTTCAAACTCTAGGTCTGTTTTGGCAAAAAACAATGAAATATTATGTGTAACGTCTTCCAATCGAAACTATTATCTATGTACATTAGTGTTTGGAGCATAATATTTGTTGTGTTAAATAATTCAATGAATAAGTTGTTTCACATAACAATTTGTAGCGATTTAATGTCATACGTACAAAGTTTTTATTTGTTTTTTTTTTATATCAAACTCTCACCATTTGAACTGTCATTTAATACGAAATGTTTATTTACTTTTTTATCCTTGATATTTGTATCTAAACTTGTAGATATTAAATGCACAGATTTCTATGTTTCTATGCGTGTTTATTTTATAAGTATGTGTGTACACACACACTTGGTGGTCCGACAAATGATCCTAAGAATACATAGACAATATTTTTTGCACATCGTACATACATGTAAAATCATAAGGATACATACATCCATAAATGGATGTACGTACGTATTATTATTTTTTTTTTATAAATTTTTGTTTATTTTTTGTATGTATGTCCTCAATGCGTACTTTAGCAAAAATTCATTTGATAGAGAGGGTCACTTTTTGTTCGTATACTATAGAATTCTGTGAACGTATTTTTCATTCCACATATCAGTAATATACATAAATGTTTTTTGCCAACTATGCGTACAAAAAAAGGGGATAATAACCCAAAATCCTAAAATACATTTAATGCGTACGCTCGTATGAGCCTTAAATAAAATTATTTACCTTAAGGCCTAATAAAAGTTTATGGATGAAATGGGAAAAAAATTTATATTTTTAGTTGATATATGCACCCACATTTTTTATACATAAATAAACAGGCCTTAACCCATGGCAAATAAAGTGGGTTATAATTTGTTCGTTAGGGAACTAGAATATTTTTCTATCTCGGGTTGGATAAAATGTATATTGCTTATGAAATAAGTTCTTAAGGAAATGTCATAAGTTTGTATCCAGTTTACATTATTTCAACAAATGAAAGCATGTCAAAGCAAATAGAGCGAACATATAGATTAAATTTACACAACAAAATTTGCAAATATTTAAACAATAGAATTGAAAAAAAACTTACAACATTTATTAGGTTGAGTAAGTTTATGTCTATGTTTAAATTTTAGTGTTTAAATATTGATTTTAAACATGCTGAGTTTAAAAATTCACATTAAAAAGAATATCATGATTTAAACAAACTCTTTAAAGAAAATTTGTTATAGAGTTTTGGGAATTTAATGCTGAATTTCATATTCCCTCGATACTGTATTATTCTTATTGCAACATGACAGACCAACCGAACAACCACCCGGCCACAAATCACTACAAATGTGTCGGAACCATAAAAAAATTGTGAATGAAAGAATGAAGATGGACGAACATAAAGAAAAGTAGTAAAATATATAACAAGTTGATGTATATTTATGTATTTGTAACGGACATTACATCCTTCTTACGATAGCATCCTTTTTAAGGTGCTGGCGTTTTGCTTATATGTGTTTGTATTTCAGGATTTCTTTAAGTATTTAATAACAATAACGCAGAAGACCAACTACGTTTTGAAAGATTTTGGACATATAATACAATATTGTAATAAAAATAAAAAATATACATAAAAAGACCAAAAATGAGAGACATAAACAACAAATCTACTAATTCCAGTCATAGTATAACAAGCTCATAAAATATTTGGTATATAAATATCCCCCGGTTGGGGTTAAGGAAAATCATACAGCATAAATCTATTTTATAGAAAAAATGTTTGCTAAAGTATAAACTGCAATTTTTGAACTATAGTTTTAGTTCACTTCTAGTTCTGTTCTAGTTCAGTTCTAGTTCAGTTCTAGTTCAGTTCTAGTTCAGTTCTAGTTCAGTTCTAGTTCAGTTCTAGTTCAGTTCTAGTTCAGTTCTAGTTCAGTTCTAGTTCAGTTCTAGTTCAGTTCTAGTTCAGTTCTAGTTCAGTTCTAGTTCAGTTCTAGTTCAGTTCTAGTTCAGTTCTAGTTCAGTTCTAGTTCAGTTCTAGTTCAGTTCTAGTTCAGTTCTAGTTCAGTTCTAGTTCAGTTCTAGTTCAGTTCTAGTTCAGTTCTAGTTCAGTTCTAGTTCAGTTCTAGTTCAGTTCTAGTTCAGTTCTAGTTCAGTTCTAGTTCAGTTCTAGTTCAGTTCTAGTTCAGTTCTAGTTCAGTTCTAGTTAGTTTCTAGTTCAGTTCTAGTTCAGTTCTAGTTCAGTTCTAGTTCAGTTCTAGTTCAGTTCTAGTTCAGTTCTAGTTCAGTTCTAGTCAGTTCTAGTTCAGTTCTAGTTCAGTTCTAGTTCAGTTCTAGTTCAGTTCTAGTTCAGTTCTAGTTCAGTTCTAGTTCAGTTCTAGTTCAGTTCTAGTTCAGTTCTAGTTCAGTTCTAGTTCAGTTCTAGTTCAGTTCTAGTATTCTAGTTCAGTTCTAGTTCAGTTCTAGTTCAGTTCTAGTTCAGTTCTAGTTCAGTTCTAGTTCAGTTCTAGTTCAGTTCTAGTTCAGTCTAGTCAGTTCTAGTTCAGTTCTAGTTCAGTTCTAGTTCAGTTCTAGTTCAGTTCTAGTTCGTTCTAGTTCAGTTCTAGTTCAGTTCTA